ATAGACAAAAGATGACCTTGGGTTTCTAGAAAAGAATGACAACAACACATTCCACAATTCTACTCCTTTCTATTCCCCCTCCTACTATTACACTAATGAAACAGCATAATGAAATAATAGAGAGTGTGGCAGGCCAATGTTCCTAAAAGGAATATAACTGCAGGCCTGACACTGATATTGCTTGGAGTATGAGAAAATAATTATGAAAGAAAGGCATGCTATGGTTATATAAGAAATAACTGATTAGATTTTTTTCAGTTAAATTAATTGGCATCAGTTTCCTACCAATTACAATCTACCTACTACAACCATTAACCACATGGCTCTGAAAAATCCCTAGTATGGCATGAAAATACAGGTAGTCCTTGACTTACAACCACATTTCTCTTAAGTGAGACATTCATTAAGTGAACTTGGTCCATTTTATGATCTTTCTTGCTACATTGTTAAGTGAGTCACTGCAGTTGTTAAGGTAGTGACACGGTTGTTAAGTGAATCTGGTTTCCTCGTTGACTTTGCTTGCTAGAAGGTCACAAAAGGGGGTCACATGGACACCAGGACATTTCAACCGTCATAAATACGAACTGGCTGCCAAGTATCCGAATTTTGATCATATGACCATGGAGATGCTACAGTGGTTGTAGGAGTGAAAAATGGTCATAAGTCACTTTTTTTCATTGCTGTTGTAACTTTGAACAGTTACTAAATGAATGATTGTAAGTTGAAGGCTACCTGTATTCATACATGGGCATATCTTATCCTATTTCTGCTGTCAACCCATCCAGGAAAATGACTGAAGGATGCTTTTGAAGTGATGAGTTAATATTATATATATGTTTCCTGTTCAATACCGTCTAGGTGGAATTCTAGCCCCAGTTTATTTTGGTGCAGTGATTGACATGACTTGCTTGAAGTGGGGCAGTAACCCTTGTGGCCAAAAAGGATCCTGTAGGATATATGATGCAGTACAATACAGGTGAGTCCTCCTGCAATCCCATGGCTTCTGAGAAAGCCATAAAAATGGATTTCCAAATTACCATATTTTTCGGAGTATAAGATGCACTTTTCCCCCTTAAAAGAGGGTGAAAATTTGGGTGCGTCTTATACACCAAATATAGCCCTGCCCAACTGCCGGCCCCCATCCTTTGGCCTCTGCCTCCCAGCAATTTGCCTCCTTGAATCAAACAGCAAACAGCCTGTTTCAGTTTCAGCTTCAGCACAGCCTGATTAGCACAAGCAGCTGATTATCGGTTGGATCAG